GGCCCCCGACTGCGTCCGCCGACAGAAGCGCCGGGAGCTGGACGCCCGCCGCAGCAGATGCCGCATCCGCATCGGGGGGCACCTGGAACGCTGGTGCCACCTCAAGGAGCAGCTCGGCTTCTCCCTGCACTCCCAGTTGGCCCAGTTCCTCCTCGACAGGTCGGTGGGGGTCTCCAAAACACGTAAAAACCCTTAAAAATCCTTAGGATGGCGAATAAAAAAGTTTGAAGCTCGCTCTCGCTCTTCCTGCCGCAGGTTCAGCTCCCCCAGCTGCGTCTGGAGCCCAGGTTGGTGCCCCCCACCCCCAACCCACATCGGCCTCGGTGATTTTTGGGTCCAAAAGAGGTTTTTATGGCAGAGAGGGAGGATTCCCCATCGCGCTGAGGTGCTGGAGTTGCACCCCAGAGCTGCTCGCCTCCCGGATTGCTCCCTGGGTTTGGCTGCGTTGGGGCCATTGCCATCCCCAGCTCTGGGTTTGGTTTTTTTTTGGGGTGGGGTGGAGGTGTTTGAGATCTTGGGGGCTGCTAAAAACGGGAAGCGACGGAGCCTGAACAAGGTGGTGGGGAAGGTGAGAGGAGACCCTGGCAGATGTCCTGCCCTACACTGCGTCAGCCCTGTGGAGAACAAGCAAAAAACCAAAATTTGGAGCCAGTTTTCACTGATTTTCTCTGATCTTTTTATTTTCTGTGCCTTCCCCAGGCGAGCCGGAGCCCAACCTCCGCGCCGATGCCCTGCAGCGCTTGGTGGTCCTGTCCCACGGTCACGGCCAAGAGTGCGGCTTCGTCCCCGACGTGAAACCCCCGGCCCCGGGCAGTGCGTCCCGGCTGGTGTCGGAGTGCGTGGCCGGGCATAGCTTCTCCTGGGACGTACCCGACTCGGTCGCGTGACGGGGACCGGAGGGAGGAGGCGGGAGCTGGTGGCGATGATGGTGATGGTGGCAACGCAGGTGAGCTCCTCTGTGTCCCCTTCTCCACCCTTGTTTCCCTGTTGGCTTCTTGATTCCTGGTCTTCAGGCCTTCTCCCAGTCCCAGGGGCTCATCGACCAGCTTCCTAATGGGATGAGATGTTCTCCCGGCCTTGTTGCCTCCATCTTGCTCCTGGCAAGCACCGTCATCTAAAACAAATCTCTGGGGCTTTGCTGGAAAAGGAGGTGGAGGAGTCTCCCAGCGGGTTCATTCCTACCACAAAACAAACCCATATCTTCCCCGTCCTTTCCTTCCCCTGGAGAAGCAGAGCTGGGGGACCTCGGGCTCATGGTTGAGCAGAAGACCTCGCCAAGCCCACGTAGGTGCAGCTCTGGGCGGTTTCCAAGAGCCACAGCTCTTGTCCTTTACTCGGACTGAAAACCGGGGAGAAAAATCTAATTTCTTTTCCATTCAGCGCCCTGTAGTAGCTACTCGAGAAGAGGTTGAGCTTATTCCAGTAGAGTATTTTGGAGTAACGTGGCTCTCATTTCTTCTGGTCAGTGCCATGCAGGTCCTTTCCAACCCCTGCAGGCTTCCCAACCCTGCTGCCAGATCCACTTCTCCTCCTCCCTCCTCTGCCTCTCCCAACGTCCCAGCTCATCCAGCCCCGCTCCAACTTAACGCAACTCCTGTTGTCTCCTTGCAGCTCCCCAAGCGCCGGCGGAGACGGGGACCGTGGCAAAAGATCACAGGAGGTGAGTGGTGGCACGCATGAGTCTTCCCCCAGCGTATAACTGGGCTCTCTGGAGATGAAGGTCAAGTTTGGACCCATCCATCTCATCCCTTGAGTTCTCCAACGGGCAGCCAACATTTTAAGGAAGACCTTCCATGATTAAAACCCGGAGCTGACTTTGATCATTGCGTTCCTGCAGCCCACTCGTCCCAGAGGAGAAAGCCGAGCAGGGGGCTGAGCCCCAAGAAGAGGAGGAAGAGGAGGACGAGGACTTTGCCGACGACGACGACCTCACCTACACCGATGACCTGCGTGATGAGAACTACCACCCGTCTCTGGACAGGTGAGGGGCGCTTAGAGCTCTTGCGAAGGACCCTGTGGGCTGGGAACACACGAGAGCCACTCCACAATGGCTCCCAGTCACGCCAGTCCAGACGGGCATTGCACTGGGAGGGTTTCAGATGTTACGTCTCTGCTACCCTCTTGTCTTGCTACAGCCGACCTAGCAGAGATGGGAGGAGAGGGGAATAATGTCCTTATATCACTTAAATAGGGTGCTTCTGGGCTCAAGAGGGCACAGCCTTTTGGGGAGGCACCTCCTTTCACCGTATCTTTTCCTGGCTGAGGGTCTTTGCCGCGTCCAGCCAATGCCCAACCACGTCCAGCCAATGCCCAACCATGTCCAACCGCCTCCAGCCGGGTCCAGCCCCA